GTATTTCTTAAACAAAGCCCACTGGGCCATGCTGGGCTTAGAGGGGTTGGTAGCTTCCCAGTGTACAAAGTGGGCAGGATAAGAAAGACACAGAGGAGGGTAAAGGTTCCATGCTGGAAACTCACTCACAGAGATCTGAGGAAAATCAATAGAGAAAGCTCACAGAACAGGCAGATGCTACAACCTTCTCCTTTGGCAGCAAAAATAAAAATGAGGGTGGGGGTGCTGGCGTGCGGGAGCATCAATGTTTGGGCAGCAATGGCCTTGTTCCAGCTCCGGCATGCAGAACCTCCTAGAGGCTTTTAGTTTGAAAAACCTGTCCGTCACAGGCCTGCTCATGCACAGTCCCCATGTGGGACTGCGCAGAAGATTGACAATGAACCCATCTATTCCTACTGATTTGTTTCTCCAAACTGCCTTGAGCGCAGCTTTCACTTCACTTTCTAAAACTGCAGGTTCTTCTTCAAAAGATTCTTTGAAGGAATCTGTCATTCTTTCACCTCTTTGGTGTAATTGTTTACTGTCTTGTTCCCATCTTCTCTTCATATTGTCTTTTTCTGCATTGCAGTAAACTAATGGAAATTTTTTTAATTAGCTGTACTTATAACAGCCTTATTGCCATATAAAAACAAGAATGAAAACTATGTAAGTCCTTTTATTAAGACCAATCAAATTAATGCAAACTTTGTGCCAGATAGCTTTCAAGCTCTTCAGAACTTTTCATCAAGCTGGATGCAGAGATAAAGTTCTAGTGAGCTCAAAAACTTGCACAATATTTTTTGCCAAATGATTTGGCCCCAATAAAAGTATTACATGGATTTCTTATTCGTTTTTGGATTTTGCATGGACCAATATGGCTGCACAATTTTTTTTCATTGCCATACATTCAGTATTATGTAGAACATTATACAAAAGTAGCTCTTGTTTACAAGTAGAATAAGTGTATACGGAACAATCCATCTTTCAAACTGCTTCCAACTCTCTGAAATAAAAAAATCCACTTGTGCCTCTAGACCATCAGATCACCGTATTAATAACCATCAATAAATCTGGATATTTATCGTAACATAGAACTCTTCAGTAATGTATCATCATCACACAGGAAATGTCAAGAGTACATTTAGATAAAATAAGCCACATAAAACCCATATCACACCATTTAAACAATAAATGAAATATCCTTGACAACAATACTATCTTTTTCTAATTAGAATCAATTTTTGAAAGGTCAATAGTATCTGATTTTAAACTTTTATTGCTTAGAGGAAGAATAGGATAAAAATGTGCTAAACTTATCATAGATGGACAGGTTTGCATAGGTTTAAAGAAGTTGTGGTGGATTGTACCAGTAGAAGTGTTGATACAGGTTTAAAGAAGTTGTGGTGTTAGATTGTTCTTAATTTGTAGTGAAATCTAAAACAGAATTAAACCCTTCTAAGTCCATAGTTGTAAATGGAACTCCAGGACTGCACTGCTGGTGTGTATATTTCCAAAAGCTGTCCTAGGTATGACTCATAAAATGAAGGCTAGGCTGTCCTGAAGAAAACTGGGAAGACCACGAGGCCATTCAGGTTTGACCTAGACCGCATCCCTGATGAATATACAGTAGAGGTGAAGAATAGATTCAAGGGTCTGGATTTGATAGAGTGCCTGAAGAACTATGGACGGAGGTTCGTGACATTGTACAGGAGGCAGCAATCACCACCATCCCAAAGAAAAAGAAATGTAAGAAAGCAAAGTGGCTTTCTGATGAGGCTTTACAAATAGCAGAGGAAAGAAGGAAAGCGAAAGGCAAAGGCGAAAAGGAAAGATTTACCCAACTGAACACAGATTTCCAGAGAACAGCAAGGAGAGATAAGGAGGCCTTCCTGAATGAACAGTGCAAAGTAATAGAAGAAAACAATAGAATGGGAAGGACTAGAGATCTCTTCAAGAAAATTGGAGAAATCAAGGGAGCGTTCCATGCAAAGCTGGCCATGATAAAGGACAAAAACGGTAGGGACCTAACAGAAGCAGAAGAGATTAGGAAAAGATGGCAAGAATACACAGAAGAACTATACAAGAAAGACCTCGATGACCTTGACAACCACGACGGTATAATCACTGACCTCGAGCCAGACATCCTGGAATGTGAAGTTAAATGGGCCTTAGAAAGCATTACTAACAACAAAGCTAGTGGAGGTGATGGTATTCCAGCTGAGCTATTCAAAGTCTTAGAAGACGATGCTGTTAAAGTTCTGCACTCCATTTGCCAGCAAATTTGGAAAACGCAACAGTGGCCACAGGATTGGAAAAGATCAGTATACATTCCAATCCCAAAGAAGGGCAATGCCAAGGAATGTTCAAACTATCGCACAATTGCACTCATATCACACGCTAGCAAGGTCATGCTCAAGATCCTACAAGCTAGGCTTCAACAGTACATGGATAGAGAACTGCCAGAAGTACAAGCTGGGTTTCGAAGAGGTAGAGGAACTAGAGATCAAATTGCCAACATTCGCTGGATTATGGAGAAAGCAAGAGAGTACCAGAAAAATATCTACTTCTGCTTCATTGACTATGCTAAAGCTTTTGACTGTGTGGATCACAACAAACTATGGCAGGTCCTTAAAGAGATGGGAGTACCAGACCACCTCACATGTCTCTTGAGAAACCTGTATAAGGGCCAAGAAGCGACAGTTAGAACCGGATACGGAACAACTGATTGGTTCAGCATAGGAAAAGGAGTACGACAAGGATGTATACTGTCACCTTGCTTATTTAATATATATGCAGAGTACATCATGCGAAATGCTGGCCTGGATGAATCACAAGCGGGAATTAAGATTGCTGGGGAAAAGATCAACAACCTCAGATATGCAGATGATACCACTCTAATGGCTGAAAGTGAAAAGGATCTAAAGAGCCTCTTGCTCAGAGTAAAAGAGGAGAGCGCAAAAGTGGGCTTGAAGCTCAACATCAAAAAAACTAAGATCATGGCATCCGGCCCCATCACTCCTTGGCAAATAGAAGGGGAAGTCGTGGAAGTAGTGACAGACTTCACGTTCCTGGGATCCCAGATCACCGCAGACTGTGACTGCAGCCATGAAATTAAAAGACGCCTGCTCCTTGGGAGGAAAGCGATGGCGAACCTAAACAGCATGATAAAAAGTAGAGACATCACCCTGCCAACAAAAGTCCGCATGGTCAAAGCAATGGTATTCCCAGTAGTCATGTATGGCTGCGAGAGCTGGACTATAAGGAAGGCCGAGCGCCGAAGAATAGATTCTTTTGAACTATGGTGCTGGAGAAGACTCTTGAGAGTCCCTTGGACTGCAAGAAGAACAAATCAGTCAATCCTCAAAGAAATCAACCCTGACTGTTCCCTGGAAGGCCAGATAATGAAACTGAAGCTCAAATACTTTGGCCACCAAATGAGAAGGGAGCACTCACTGGAGAAGACCCTGATGCTGGGAAAGATTGAAGGTCAAAGAAGACGGGGACGGCAAAGGATGAGATGGTTAGACAGTGTCATAGATGCAATGAACATGCAACTGAGCAAACTTCAAAGGACGGCGGAAGACAGGAGGGCCTGGCGGGAGCTGGTCCATGGGGTGCGAAGAGTCGGACTCGACTGTGTGACTGAACAACAACAACAGGCTGTCCCAATTTTTCATGTCTTTCTATACATTTGCAGATGTGTAGCCTAGCATGGTTTCTTCTTACATTTTTCTGCCTACCCAGAGTAACTTTTTAAATTAACCAAAAGAAAAACTGCTCTGAGACCTGAGCACGTCCAAGGCAAATGAAATTCTGAGAGCAGGTTAGAATCAGTTAAGGGCCAGGAGGGGGAAGGAGAAACATGATGAAATTGGCCGGCTAAAATGTCTGATAACTAAACGCCTTGGAAGAGAAAGATTTGTGTATATGCGGGAAATGTCCAAATTGTTTATCCCTTCCCCCAGTATCTCAGCTCCCGCACTTATCTATATAGCTAATAATTAAGTCCCTCCCCCCCCATCTGCAGATATGTAAATATCTGTGCAAGCGCAGAAAACGCACCTACCTCCTTGCATGGTCATTGGTGGCTGCAGCAGAGCCTGGGAGCTGCGGGGCCCAGCAAGAAAGTGTGTGACGGGGGAGGGCCAGCACTTACCGTCTAATAGCACACTTCATGGCGACGCCGCTTATCGCAAAAGTAGCAAACCTTGCCCACAGACAACGTTAGGATTTCTGCATGTTTCGGAGACTCACATTTTTTTAAAAAAAGTGCTAAGAACCCACTGAACAGGCTTATTGCCCTCGGAAAGTTGAGAGCAACTGAAGGGGCAGTAAATCATTCCTCCAGCCAAAAAGGCAGAAGAAGATGAGAAACGACCAAGGTCCCCAAAGTGTATCTTCGAAGGTGAGGTTGGAGTTTCCCAGTCAGGAACGCGTTTCTTATGTGTGTCTTGTTATATTACGACAGGAGAACAACTTTTTACAACCCAGCTTCGACCTTCAACAGTGACGCATTTTTAAAAAATGCTCACTAGAGGCAAATAAACACAGCGCCATGTACGTAAATCCTAAACGGCGAGATTCCTCCCACGCGAAAAGGGATCCTTAAGGTTTCATTTTAGCTTCTGGTCCCCCTCACCAACCTGTTTCCTTGGCTTTCTCCATTACTACAGCTTGCCCTGAAGTAAAACAGCTGTCAGGCACACACCACCTATACGAACGAGGAAAGGCATGCACGCACATGCTGAACTAAGGGCAGCTTTGCCCTAGAGAAAGAAGGCGCTAGAAGCGTCCCTCGATGAAGTCGAATAGGATGAGTGCCTTTTCTTTTTAAAGGAAGGAGGCGGTGTGAAGGAGGTGTCGTCATGCTTAGCTTCACCGTGCCAATACCTCTTAGCCAATCAGAATTAGACGGGGGTTAGGCTTTGCCGATTCAAACTGGAGGGCGGGCCTGAGTGGGTGCTTGAAGCCGTTTGTCCTGGAGAGGTTGCCGTTGCTGGTGAACTGCTGCGCGCCGCTCTGAGGAGGGGGGGTGAAAAGCTTTCCCCCTCGCACGGGACCCGGTGGGTGATGATACCCTTAAGGGAACCGGGGTTTGGGTGGGAAGGAAGGAAGGAAGGAGCATTCTAATTTGCGTGCGGGGGAGGGAAGGAACATTCTAAGGGGCATCGCCTAGACTTTTTTTTTTATATGGAAGGGGTTAGAAAATTCTACAGGGTCGGTGGTGAGATTGTGTTCCAGCCAAATGAAACAGGATTCTGGGGCGCCTTAAAGACTTCTTTTTGGGGGGTGGGGGCGTAAAAATCCGTTTGTGCCATAAGTTTTGTACACAACTGAGGATTGCCTTGTTCCTTTGATGAAGTGGGCTTTAGTCCACAAAAGCTTATGCCACAATTAAAACTGTGTCCCGAAGCTTCTGTGGGCTTTTGGTGGCGACCGAGGGCTGGAAGAGGATGGGTGTGAGCAGTAAATGATTCCCTGTTGTAGAGTTACCAATTGAGAGTTATGCAAGGGGGGGAGGGGGTTCTTCCACATTTCAGGTGGAGGGAAGGGGTTGAAGAATGATTAACTTCTCTTTTTTCATCCCTTCATCCCATTCCATCCCGAATGACTAACTAGAGAGGTATGAGATGGGGTGTTAACATTTCCATATCAGTTTGTTGTGGGTTCATGTGCCATTTATAAGGTGACAAGCATTTTGTCTAATTTTATTTTTAATAGCATGCTATCACTTATTCTCAATGATTTACAAGGATAGTAGTAAGAAGACAGAAAGTGCCATGGATTCTAGTGGTTATGATCTGTGGTTTGACACAAAGTAGGCAACAGAGGGGGAAAGAGATGAAAGAAAACATGAATTGTTTAATGGGAGCGGTGTCAATGAGAATTTGTGAGGGGAAGAGGATGAAATGGCATGGGAGGGGGCGTAGCTTAGTGATAGAGTATCTGCTTGGCATGCAGAAGGTCTAGGTTCAATTCAGGCGGTAGGTGATGGAGAGGGTATCAGACAAAGACCGTATGGCAGTCAACTCTCATAGGTTGGGGCGGTCCCCTCCCTGTGCTCTGCACAGTAACTTGCCATTGCTTCTTCATTATGCTGACATCCTTGCCCTGAGGACAGCAGTCATGCTTGGAAGTAGGCCTTCTGTGATCCAATAACTGCTGCTTTTCTATGCCTCTTGGAGATTCATTCTTTAGGTCTTTATCATGTTGGTGTCTGAGCCTCCAGGGCTGTAGGATTCTAGGAGCAGGAGATTGTGTCTTAGCAGATGCTTTTCATAAGATTGCAAAAGAACTGGACATGATAATGTTAGATATAAGGTGATCTAAAGAGTGTTAATGTATTGTGAAAGTATGGAAGTTATCAGCTTGAGTTCATTCTATCTGGGATGAAAACTTTTTAATCGCCTGGTTGCTGGTAACATGTTTTGCAAGGGACCTCAGGCAATACTATCAAGATAATCATCATTCTGGTCTAGCTCAGGAAATGTGTTGAAATCTCGGTCCTCACAACCAGAAAATCTAAAGTTAAAACTAAGTACAAGGCAATAAAGTACTCTGCCCTGAAAGAGGTTTCCTGTGGCAGTTCTTTTGACTGGGCTGAATCTTGTTCTTACTTTGCTGAGAACCTCGGGTTGCATCCTTTTGTATATTTGGGTGCCACTGTGCCTTCCTAGAAGTCTTCTGCATTTAAGGACTTCTAGATTAGGGCTTCTAGTCCAGGAGTATAAAATTTGATGCTGATGCCAACAAGCTTGGATTTTTTTTTTTCATATCTGCACAAGGCTGATGAATAAATACCTGAAGCTAGAACTTAAAACTTAGTGCTGGAGCCTTGGAAATGGAATGAATTGGTAACTGGAAGGACCTTATTTCCAGAAGGCTCCTCCGCACAGGACAGTGTTGGGATTTCTTTTGTTGGATCTGAGGATCTTCTAGCTATACACAAGGTTTTCCCATTTCTGTCACAATATTACTGCATCCTTTTTTGAGGCCTGGTGTGTTATGCTGGACATCTAAAAACAATCACCTGTGTAATATTTCATATGATTGTATGCTGGTTTAAACTGGGCTATCAATTGCTACAAATGCAGCCATAACATGACAGCATGTCTGATTTTGTGCACAACTTCATTGTGGTTTTTTTAAATGACCCAGAGTCATATTCAAACCAACCCTGAGTGTATGACCTCATGAACCTGTAGAGTGTCTGAATAAAAGCGTTCTTAAAGATTATCATAATTTGGAAACAGTTGAAAAGAAGAGGCGGTCAACCAGTGTGAAGTTTAAAGTCTTTGGTATCCTGTGCAATTGTGAGAATTATGTATAAATAAGCCTGTGTACGATTGAGGAGGTAGGTCTGACCCTTACTAAGAAGGATTACCTTTGATCTGTTGTACTTTCTCAAGTGTCTTATCCTGTGACCTTTTGTTCTCTTAAGGTTTCATTGTGTAAATCCATGAAAGTCTTGTAAATGCCATGTTTTCAGAAGAAAGATGTTCTGTTAAGTGACTGTGTCTGTGGAACACACATACTGGCTTCAAAAATGACTTTCTATTCCAATTTATCTGTAAAATTATTCTTCAGTTGTTTTTACGTGCAGTGCATAAAACAAACCAGAAATTTCCTTATTTGTAATGTTAAGTTTAAAAACTTAAGATATTTGGAGAATGTAAGCCATTTGTATTAACTGTACGTATATGGATCATTACTGGCATGGATTTAAAATGCCACCACTGTGTTCTAAAAGAAAAAGGCCAGTCTATCACTGCAGGAACAAAACATGCTAGCCCAGTTGCCAGTGCCACTACTCTTAAAAGTACTCAAATGCTAAAAACAGTTCATAAGTTATGCCTCTGTCATCACCACTTATTAACTATAGTGAGAATGTATCTAAACTTGTAATCTGTCGGTATAATTTATAGACTGTTTTTCTTGGTGCACAGTATTTGTAATGTGGGGTGTGGATGGAGACTTGGTAGCACTTGTCTATCATGTAAAAGTATAATTGTGCTATTTTATTTGAGTAGGTCTGAGTGGAAATAATCTTTCAAAAAAGCTGCTTTCCCTGCTGAGTTGAAAACAGGCCTGTTTTTCACTCCCTATAATTATACTTCAGCTAGTACAACGTGTTAAGATACTGATATTCAGACCGGATAAAATAGGCTGCAGGCAGCTATTCTAACCTATTAAAGTGGCTAACCATTCATGATAGCTGAAGAGGTTTCAGTGGAATCTGTTACATGTGACTGGTCATGGTATATAGAATAGGGTTCTGAAATTTTCCTGGCTTTATACCTCCCAAGAAAGAGCCTTGAACATGGTTCTTGCATGTTAAAGTCCAACATGCAGTCATATAAAGAAACTACTAAAGAACCAACAGAACTGCATGCTTTCTTAGTGGTTTCTTAATGCATACCATTATCTCATGTGGCATTACTAGGAAACCGTATAGCACTGCTGACTTGTATGTTTTCCTCTTCATGCATCTGTATCCATGCACCATTCCACAAGGGCAGATTCTCATATGTGAGTTGGATCTTAGGTCAGCCTTGATCTATTAGTGCAAACATGTTTGTTATATGGTACTGAGGCCATATAGTAAACATGCTTGCTGCCCTGAAAATTACAGCAGGTAGTACCATTGTTTCAGATGTTACAGGGATGAATAGGCTGTAGTCTTTGCTCAAAATATCTATAATACATCTTGCACATTTTAACATGCGGAACTTTAACTTCTTGATTTTATTCCATTTTTATTAGGTTAAAGCAGAAGTTCCTCAGGCAGGCACAGCCTTTGACTCTGAGCTTGATGCAGAAGTAACACTAAGGTATAGTATTATATTGACAAAATATATCTATACAGTTTTATATCCCCATTCTGTGCTTCTGCTCAGCTGAACCAGAGCTGTCCAGAAATGCTTAATTTCCTCTTCTACACTCCCTGTCTTTCCTAAAGTATTTCTATTATATATTTCTTTCCAGATCACCTTTCTCCTAAAGGCACAAGGCAAATTACAAAAAATTAAAAGCCAATAATAAATACAATACAACCCACTAATAGCAGACTTTAAAAACTGGAAGAGTATCTTCTTTCCGAAAATTGTCTTCTTGAAAAGTACCACTTTATACCTTGTTCATCAAAGCCCCTGAGCCTCTCCTAAATTTAGTGTGATATAGCTATTGTTTTTATTGACTCTTTTGTAGAGAAATGAAGGCCTGGGAAACCTTGGGAGAAAGAATAGTGGTTTGTGAGTTTTTGGCCCCCCCCCCCTTTTCTGAGGGCATTTTTCCATTAGAAAAATTTTGAAATTTGAGGAAGCACCTTTTTTGTTTTCTGCTTTCGTTTTCCTCTCAGATGGCAAAAACTTATATATGTATCTCTCCCGTATATATAATTGAGTAAGACAGGGCGTAAGACAAAATGCGCTCCGTCAGCCATTGGCTGGCCAGCTGCCGCTCAAGGCTGCTGCCCTGCCATTGGCTGGGAGGCGAGAGGCAACCGCTGTGTCTGAACGGCGCGGCGGCGATGCGCCCCACGCCACGTTCTAATTTCCCTCCACCCCCCACCCAGTTGAAGGCCGCCGGCGGCCATGACCCGCTCACCGCGCCCCAATTTCCCTCCACCCACCCAGTTGAAGGCTGGTGGCGGCGGCGATGAGCCGCTCACCGCGGACCGATTTCCCTCCCCCCCAGCCCTAAACTACTGGAATGAGACAATGGATATCCACTAACAATTTAGTTAAAATGCCCAGTACTCAAGGCCTTCATTCCATGGAAGCTGATAACCCCAGATTCACTAGTAGGGTTGCCAGCCTCCAGGTGGGGCCTGGAGATCACCTGCTATTTATGATTCACCTACAGGCAACAGGCAACAGTTCCCCTGGAGAAAATGGCTGCTTTGGAGGGTGGACTCTGTGGCATTATGTCCCCTCCCCAAACCCCACCCTCCCCAGGCTCCACCCCAAAATCTCCAGGTATTTTCCCACCCAGAGCTAGCAACCCTATTTGCTAGCCAATCTGGCATGGCAAAAAATTCCCACTCCCCACCCTACCTGTCTAGGGGCTCGTTGTCTCCGTCCACAACGGGCATTGCTCCCTAGTATATGTGTGTGTGTATTTGTAAACTGGTACAGCAGTTTGCAGCCTTCTCTCACAAGTATTGGTTATGTCATAATTTTACTTGTACAAAACTAATGCATATATTTTCAAAAATTCTATTAATGTGCCAAATAAAACAACAAATGCTAATTAAGTTATAAATAATGCATTTTATGTTGTTAGCTAGTGAAATGAGTTTAAGTTTGATAGGGAAGTCAGTATTGCATATTTCAATTGCCCCCCAAATTTGTTTTGTTCTGAAACTAACACTCTACTGAACACTACTACCAAATGGCTTAAGATTTCTAGAAATTTTACATCTGTAGTCTAATTTGACTCTAATTATAACAAAAAATGTTTGTGTGGCAATCTTTTTTGTAATGGAAAACATAATAGTATGGTTACGTTAATATTTAAAGTAACATTATTACAAATTTATTGATTTGGGTCCACTGTTTCTTTGAAAAACAGTTTTGGCAATCTGGTAGAAAGAGATCTCTATAGTGGGCTGTGGGAAGAAACCCGTCTTCAATATCTAGATATAAAAGTTTTGAAAATATAGCTCCTGGATTCAGCGCCAGTTATCTGTTAGAAATTGTATCTTGTTCTGATACTGTTCATGAGGAGACTACAGTATGAATGACAAGCCCAATGGGTGCTTCTCTTCTTTAACTGTTACTTATAGTTAATATGTGGGGACTGAAGATGGGGGAAGAAAAAAGGCCTGTAGAATTTCAGTGGCAACCTTGTTTCATAGGGCCCTTTGAAGTGTTCCATGCTGAATAGCTATGAAATCAGGCTGGCTCAGAGTGCTTTTTTATCATTCACTTAATTTTTTCCTATGTCCTTCTAGCTGTGAAGGTAGTATATTGTCTGGCAGAGATGCCAAAAATATGGTACAATGTAAGCATCCCCCCTCTACTTGGTATTAATTTATTAGCCATCATTCCAACAGCTACGTGGTTTGAAGAAGCAATTTCCACCCTGCTGAGCTAGCAGTTTCTCTCTTAATCATTCCTGTGATGTCACCAGCTCTACTGCTTAGGAAATATGCTGACCATGACATAGGTTTTAAAAGCCATTTGCCATAGGAAGAGTAACGTGCAAAAATAAAATTGAAACTTCTCTTGCGCTTTCCCCCCAAATATACCTTTTGGCTTTCTCATGTTCATTTTGTGTCCAAGAGTTATGCTAATTTTAGTCTTGGTAGGAAACTTTTTTAGTCCTTCAGAGAATTTGAAAAGGAATCCTGATTTGTACTTCAGTCCATGGTGAATGGAGCAATTTAAATCTGAAAGAGAAAAGGCTGATCTAAATCAGGCTCTCTCCCTCCCTGCACACTTCCTGAAGAAGAATGCTTGCTACCTGCTTGCTAGAACAGTGAATCATATTGGTGTCAACTGGGTAAAGCCATTTTAAATATTACTTGAGAGCATAATCTTAAGACATTGGACCTTGTATTCCATTGTGCCTCTTGCTGTACAGAATTTCTGCTCAGAGAGGAGGGGAACATTTGTGAAATTAATGGATTTCTGCTTGGCTCCCTATATATATTCTGCAAACTCACTTGAGAGCTAAGGCTGGGATTGAAAGAACCATGAAACAGGCTCATGGAACAAAAGGAAGCTTTAGGTTCATTTTATCTCAAATAGCAGTTCCCTGTGTCTCATGGCAAATTGCTGTTAATACAGAGAAGAGTTTCAAGGCAGCTTGTTATGTGTTGGGAGCTGGCTTTTCAAAATAAGAAAAGTAAAAATCTGTGGGGTTAGCATATTGTGGAAGCCTTTCTGTAATGCAGTCTTGGTGCCTCCATAGCAGAGACTGGCTAAAGACTCACAATTGTTTTATATTAAGTGCAATATATAATTTTTGGTCATATTTCTAGTGTTTAACTTCAAGTAGGCTATCTCCCCCATGCTTTATTCTTTTACATAGAAAAGTAGGATCATTTATTCGACAGAGGGTCAGTGAATTTGTTTTGAGAGATTATGAACTAGAATTTTAACTTTGTTCATTTTCAGGGTGTATTTTATACTGGGACACTTGGTATATTGGTTCCCTTCCTTGAACGCAGTGATCTCGCAACAGTGATTCATGCAATGGTCACCTTGAGATTGGGTTACTGTAATGCTCTCTACATGGGGCTGCCCTTGTCCCAAATCCGGAAGCTGCAGCTGGTGCAGAATGCAGTGGCGAGGCTGTTGTTGTGTCTTCCTGGGCGGGAACACATCCAGCCTGCCCTAAAAGCACTGCACTGGCTACCGGTAGCATACCGGATTTGGTTCAAGGTGCTGGTTCTTACGTTTAAAGTTCTATATCGTCAGGGACCTACTTACCTAAGGGACCGCCTTTCCCCATACGTTCCCCAGAGAGCACTAAGATCAGGGCCCCAAAATCACCTGGCCCTCCCAGGCCCTAAAGAAGCCAGGCTAGCTGTGACGAGGGCCAGGGCCTTTTCTGTGGCGGCTCCTTACTGGTGGAATGAGCTCCCGGATGACATCAAGGCCCTGCGGGACCTTTTACAGTTCCGCAGGGCCTGTAAAACGGAGCTCTTCCACCAAGCTTTTGATTAGGGTGCCGCCTTTTAACATTGTGGCCCTGGCCCCAACATGAACATTAATTTAATAACCAATAGCCTGGCAAGAACCCGGATTATGGTGGTAGTTGACCATCTGGATGCTGAGAGAATGCTGCCATCTTTTATTAACACTTATGTTCCTTAATACCTAAATTTTATATGTTGTGGTTTTAATTCATTTTTCTGTGTTTTAACATACCTTTGCTGTTGCCGCACTGAGCCCGCCAGGGCAGGGAGGGCAGGATACAAATTAAACAAACAAATAATAAATAAATAATTGACACGCTTAAAATGCTGTTTTAAATGTTAAGCCTCCAGTTTTTGTTTCAAAAACCCGTCACGACCAGCGTTGCTCCATTCTAAATTGTTTCACTTCTGTTCTTCAAAACCTTTCTCTAAACATTTTGGTTTAGGGCTTCACTCCTTATGTGTGACAGGGTTGCCAAGTCTCTCTTGGCCACCAGTAGAGGATGGCAGGGTGGGATTGTGAGATCAAGATTGGGAAACTCCTGGAGATTCAGGGATGGAACTTGGGGAGGACAGGGACCTCAGTGGGGTAACAGTGCCATAGAGTCCACCCTCTAAAGTATCCATTGTCTCCAGAGGAATTGATCTGTAGTCTGTAGATGAGCTTTAGTTCTGGGGGATCCCCGGGTCCCACCTGGAGGGTGGCATCTGTAATGTGACTGCATTTGCTTAAATTAATTTATTGTTCACTTATCTTTTTCCATTGTTTTATATTGAGAGTTCCTTGGTAGCAGGGACCTGTTTATTTTTGCTTAGGAATGTAAGTTGATGGTACTGTTTCAAATTGTCTAAAGCATTGGCTGGCAGATGGGATACTAATTTTGTGCTAGGCTGCCTTAGCCTCTTTATGTTTTTGGAAAGTTTGGAAGTCTGGTCTGTCTGAAATATGAACACCGCAGCCATTATATCAGTTTATACATTTCTTGTCTTGTTTGCCTACAAATGGCAATCTCCATAATGTGGTGTGTGTTTGAGTTTCAGACTTAATCACATTGGCAAGAATTGCTGTATCTGGTAGGAGAAATGGAGAAAGAACAGACTAATCTTTGAATTATTTCAGCTTCCTGGCATGAAGATGGAGACAGCAATGCTGAATATACGAAATCTGTTTGACCAACTCATGCGCCAGGCAGAAATTCTAAATGAAGGAAATGAATATCGTAAGTCATCTTCTTGTGTGGATACTATGCAGATTACTAATGTCAGAGAGGCAAAAATCAATACTGTATTTGGAAGCCTTTTCCTACTCTGTGCTTTAAAGTAGACCTTAAATGGTTTATGGGGGGTTAGGTTTTCCAGATTCTTTAGATCAAGCAGGATATTATATATGTATGTTAACTTTGGTAGGTTGATGGGAGGGGGGGGTGCCATCTGCATACATGGTTTTCTGCAATGTGGTTTCTAGGCAACAATGTGGAGTGTGTACTTAAAACATTATAGTTCCAGTAGTTACATTATTCTGTCTGCTGCCTCGGGGATGTGATGTTACATTGCCATATACCATTGCAGGTCTTCGAAGAGCCCGAGGGAAGTCTGTGCTGTGTCACAGTAACAACATCCGTAAATAATGTGGTGGGGGGAAACACTGGCTAGAGGCAGGTTTGTGCAATCTTCTGTAGATGTAGGTTTTCTGGGTGGAATGTTTATATTCCCTTTAGGGCAGCTTTAAGCAGCTAAAGGAAATTGGCTTTTTCCTTTCAAATCAATATTTGTATAATTATCTAGCTGAATAGAGTTTCTGGCCCAGACATCTATAATACTAATCTACATCTGCTGAAGCATATTACAGCAGTTACATTTATATTTTGCTGTTGAACATCTTTCTGGTGTGCTAATCTGTGAGCATAAAATAATCTGTTCTCAAGTTAATTATAGCTGCAGCTCCATTCTCTGGTATGACAATTATCTTCAAGTTTTCATTTTTATTTAAGTTGGCAGCCACAGGCCTTGCCTCAAACATGTTATACTCTTGGTTATCCTTAACATTGAATCAGACCGAGTGGTTAGGGGTGTGCATTCAGTAAAGCCAAACCAAACACAACACCTCCCCCCCCCCCCCCCTACAAACTCTTTTTTGGCGTATTTTTCAGGTATTCAGCAAGCCAAATCAAAATCTCTGATCTGATACAGCTGCCAAATACAGAATGCCCATTTGGCTTTTTTTTTCTTTTTTCTTTTTTTGCATTGCCGAATACATGTTCCAGGCGGGTTAAACTTTAAAGGGCTGCACTTGCCTTCTCTTTCCCGCTGTTTCTGTCTCTTTCCCGCCCTTTACTCTGCTTTCCAGAAGGGAGGGAAAAGGGGGACTTTACATACAACCAAGCACTGCAATGCATTAGCAAATGGCATTGCAGCTTGCAAGGCTGTTATTGCTGCTGGCTTCAAACTTGAAGCCCAACTACTAGTTTGCTTTCCCAGGGACAGGAGGGGGGAGGAGCACTGGCCAGTAGGATTACAGGTAAGTGTGGGCACACTGCTCTTTGGCCAATCACAGAAATTTGTTCTTTTTTGAAATTCTTCTGTGTATTGTTGTGATGACTCTGTGCTTAGGTTGACATCAGTCCTCCTGTTGAGCTGGCATTTGCCGCTATAGCACTGGGTTCAGCTAGTAGGTTGGCACAGGGTTCTGTTGATAGATAGGTTGGTACTAGGTTCTGCTGCTGGGCACTAGCACTAGGACATTGCACTGGTTCTGCTGCTGGCCTTGCAAACATGCCTCTTATACTTCAGAGATTCTCAGATTTGATCTTCGTCCTATTGGGTTTTGGCACTGCCACAGTGGCACTGTTTCTAGAGGGCACATTGCACTGGTTCTGCTGCTGGCCTTGCAAACATGCTTTTATTTTGGGTGGTTAAATGTGATGTAGTTTTAAATTTCTTGTTGTTTCTTTCTCTCACTCAAAGTATCTATCGCTGCCACCAGGAATTTAATTCCAGTCTTTAATTAACCTTTCCCACAGTATTGTACCCAAGCTCTAAGGCTCCTTCATTGGACTATGTGGTTCTGAGGATAAGACTCTTAACAATAAACAAGATAAAACTTTATTGGTAAAGGAAGTGTATTGGTTACAAGATGTTTTGTTAAGTTGCTCAGTAAATTTTTTCCCTTTTAATCAGGTCTCTGTCAGCTTTTCCCCTCACATTCTTAAAATACTCTGAGTATATCAGATTTTGCCTAATATGCCCCCTTAAGTATATGTTCTTCTTCCTTTAGCATCTTAATGCCTTTCACAGCACTTCTATATGATTCTAGTTAGAAGATTACATACATAGAAGACTCTGTGTAGATTGACCACAACTGACAGCTGCTGACTTCAGACCGATCACTCTGCCTTCTCTCTCTCCACACACACACACACACACACACACACACACACACACACACACACTTCCTAGCTCCGCCCACACACTCGGTCACCAGCCAATCACCTCATGCACTCATCTCCCTCTTTCACCCCTTTGTTCTTCTGACACTTGCCAACCATTTTAAAGGAACTCCAACATATAACTTGAAATCATTACAAATACGCTTGATTTGTGATATAGTTGCTGTGTATTAATTTCAGGCCTTTGTTGTTACCATGTTCTGATTAAGACTGCCACCACCTTTGCATTATCGCTGTTTTCACATTACAGGAAACTTTTAGTGAAAGAGAAAGTTTAGGAGGAAATGTGGGAGCAAAAGGGTATTAAGGAAACAATCCATTGTAAATGGATTATGTTGTGTGTTCTTTTCAGAGTTTATCCAGCTGGCTAAGAATTTTGAGGAGTTCAGGAAAAGGTGGCAGAAAATGGATCATGAGGTTGCCAGGTACAAAGATCTTCTGATGAAAACAGAAACTGAACGCAGTGCCTTGGATGTGAAATTGAAACATGCTCGAAATCAGGTGGATGTGGAGATCAAGAGAAGACAGCGAGCGGAAGCTGACTGTGAAAAGCTGGTGTGTACTGCATTGTTTCCTAAATTGGTTTTCCCTTGATAGTTACGCAGTGGGTCAGAGAAGTCTTCCATCTTACATGTTAATGTGGAAGTGTTAATATCTTTTCAGTTCTCATTTCATTATAGGCAGCAAACTTGGCATAAGAAGAGTCTTGTGGATCTGTCAATACCTTTCCAACAGTAGTCAATTTAGTGTACTTAGTGAAATGAAGAGCAGAGCATGATGACAGTTCTCCTGTATTGTATGATGCAGTTTACTGCCTCTAAACATGGAGGCTTTGTTTCCTGAAAAAAGGAAGGGTCTTTCCAGAACTTGTATAAAGAACAGCAAATGCCCAGTTGTTCACCTTTGTGGTACCCAAGTTTGTTATTTTAAGGACGTCTGGGAGTTCTTTTGAGCTACTGCATTTTGTCACTGAAATAATAATTCTCTCACTTTCTGATACTGTAGTAGGGTGATGTGACTGCTAGAAAGCTACAGGCAGTATTGTTGGTATCACTGATACAAATAACACAAATCCCCTAAGCTCACATGCCATGTTGCATAAGTCATACCTTTCCTTACTCCCCAGTGAGAACTCAAAGCAGTTTACATTAATCTCACCTACACTTTATCTTCACAACAATCCTGTGAGATAGGTTAGGCTGAAGAGTATGTGTCTGGTCCACAGTCACCCAGCAAATCTCGCTGTCAGAGTGGGGATTTAAACTTGGGTCTCTCAAATTCTAGTCCAACACTAACTACACTACACTGGCTCTATTGTCATTAAGTAATCAGTGTGCAAAGATAGAACTGTATGGGAGATTTTGCTAGTCTCTATGCAAAGTAAGTAGAGAAAGCCACTTGCAACTTTATCACAAGCTAGTGAGTCTTCATAGTTAGCTTGCACTGAAAGTTTAGTCTATTTTGTAGCTGAGGCTACCCAGCTGTCTATCCCTCACCGGTCTATCTGTTCCCCTGCTGTAGGCCCAATTCTAGAACTGATAGAGAAACAAAGGTTGTGCCCAGTAGCTTGAGGAGCAAAATTTCAGGCAATACTGGCCCAAAGCGGTACTGTATTTTCTAGAGCTGCCAAGTCTAGCACTCCTCTTGTGTATGAGGCCTCTCGCTTACTAGCAGATTCTGGTAGTCCTCAGTGGATATTTCTACTCTTTTTCCGTACTGTTAAAAATCAGTTCACATGCCTCCGCTGGAGCAGTTTTCAGGTCAAAGGGTACAGAGGATGCTCCAACATTAAAAGGGTCCTAAAAGCAAGCATACATTGGATGGTATGTTCAGGCATCACTTTTGTGATCTTTTTCTGACTCAAGTGCTCTTTTATGTACTCTTTCATGTCAAAAGGTCAGTTTGGTGCATTTGCTGCAGCAAAGTGACCTCTTGCTGTGGGTCAAATCAGATGTAATGCCAGGAGATCTATGAAGAGATCTTTTCAGTAATTTTAAGACAGAAATAGGGAGGGAGGCTGATCTGGTCAGGTGCATGCAAGAAAGGATAAATCTGCTGTTCTCCTGGTGTGGTTTTGTTAGTCTTGGATGGGGGGAAAACATGAAAACACAGCAAACCTGTCAAAACAATTGGCCCTCCATCAAATGCCCTTTGAAATAAAATTCTGGTAAGCCATTCCAAAGAACTGCTACTACTTCAGAAAAAGCCTGCAGCCTGACTATTGCCAGATAAACAGTCCTAAGAGGGTGCATCACAAGGAAAAGGCTGTCTGAAGAATGGGTGGGAGTATACCAAGAGATAACGTTCAGTCAGTATGAGGGCTCTTGGCCATGAAAGGCTTTAAAGGTTAATAATCACCACTTTGAATTTGGCCCAGGAGGAAATGGGTAACCAGTATAGTTAACACAGGGCTAGAGTTACTTTTCGAGAGGCTGATTCCAGATTGGGGTGGGGGGGTCAATGCTCCCTCTAATCTGTGGAGTCTTGCGAGCAAGAATTCTACTTTGTGAGCTACTGGCATTACAGTTGTGAGCAAGCGATTTGGCTGCTGCATAAGTTAGTTTGCTCTGGAGCCATTCTTCCTGAGCTAAGACAAAAATGTGTGAGCCGCAGGCTAAAAAACTCTGAGCTAGCTCACACTAACTCAGCTTAGAGGGAGCACTGGTGGGAATGGGGTCTTGGTTCTGTATTCTGCACCAGTTAAAGCTTATGAGACATCTTCAAAGGCAGAACATATTATTGTAGTTCATTATGGAAGTTGTAGTAGCATTGGTCAGTGTGGAGAGACCTGCAGAAACTAAATAAGGGCAGTTTCCGAGCTAAATGAAACTGAAAGATGATATTCTTGGTGCTGGGGGCATTGCTGGACCCAGGCCTTCTGTTGGATAAGCAGCTTGCAGCAGTGGCCATGGGTACCTTTGACCAGCTTTGGCTGGTGAGCCAGCTGCAGTCCTTCTTGGGCAGGAAGGATCTTATCACTGTGGTATATGCCCTGATAATCAGTTAGGTTACTGCAATGGATTGTAGAGGCCATATTGCTCTAGTCTTGTTCCATCTACACTGGCTTTCAGTTTGGCTTCTAGGTGCAATTCAAGGTGCTGGCGTGTACCAAAGCAGTATATGGATTGGGGATAACATACCTGTTCCCATACGAAACTACCCAGCTACTCCAGTCGCCTTGAGACCCTGCTTCTGGAGCCTGTGCCAGTTGAGATTAGGGGGAGTGGCAACCCAAAAAAGCACCACCTTGGTTGTTGCACTGAAACTTTGGGACTGACTCCCTACAAAGATTAATATATCTTCCTCTACTCTTACCTTGTGTGAAGGCATTTTTATTTTGTTTGGCATTCCTTCCCTAATTTTTCTAGCCTTCCTCCCTGTCTGTGTGATTATGCTTGCATTTGTTTTTATATGTTATGTTTTCTTGTCTTAAATATTGTATATATGTTTGTTTTAATATCTCAAATGCTTTAATGTTTTGTTTTAATGTTTACCACCTCAGGGACCCCGAATTGGGTGGAAAGGTAGCATGGAAATGTTTAGACAAATATATAGTGACATTACTGACCCGATTATCCATTGACAGGACTAGACCCAAGAGTACTCACAAACTCGTAACTTAGTCTACTAAACAATGCTTAACTCTTTCTGAGTCTGATAAATCAATGCTTCCCACTGTCTGTCTTGTCTGGATTCAGCTTCAGTTTGTTTGCTGCCAGCCACTTAACTGTATCCTCTAGATACTGGTCCTTGACCTTCACAGTTGCTTCTGCTTCAGTGTGTGATGGTCAACTGTATTAAGTGTTGTTGGTAAATCTAACAATATCAGCAGTGATGAATTGCCTTTACCATATTTTAACCGAAGATAATCAACTAAAGGCAATTGTGTTGTTTCAGTCTGAAATCTGGATCTAGAGCTAGATTGAAATGGGTGAATTTGAAAAAGGGGGAGGTGAGGTCTGATTCAAGAGCAAAACCATGTGTGGAAGGAGGCACAGATTAAACCCCCAGCCCTGTAATTTTCCTGTCCAGATTGTTGCCCCTGCATAGCTTCTATTTAAAAATGCTGTGAGGATCTGATCATGGATCTTCCAATGTCTTGTCTGCTTTGACAGTGCTGTTATGGGATTCCAGAGGGTTAGCCATGTTAGTCTTTACAGCAGAAATAAACAGTGCTCTTGTGGCACTTTAATAATATTTTGTTCCAGCATACGTTTTCATGGACTAGACGCCACTGCTTCAGGTGAGTGATTGTCCACTCACTGCATTTGAAGAAGAGGGTTCTAGCCCATGAAAGCTTATGCTGGAATTAAAAAAAAAATTAGCCTTCAAGGTACCACAAGACTCCTCTTTATTTATCCAGTTTAGGGAGGTTTTCATTTTTTTGTTTAAATCAGAGGTTCCCAAATTTATTTGACATACCGCCCCCTTTTCAGAAAAAAAAAACTCCCTGCCCCCTTGGAAATTTACCTCTTAGGAAGTGGACAAAAAGATGCGGTTTGTGGATCTGTACCTGGATCGTTCCAGCGATCCCAAGGGGGCGGTATTGCCCACTTTGGGAACCAGTGGTTTAGATCATTCCATAAAGACTGCCTCCTTAGATCTCTGTCATGGTCTCTGTGCAGTCCCACACATGGGTTGGGCGCCTGCGCACAACCTCGACCGGAGAAACTTCCAGAGCTTTGCCTCAGAAAACTTTTGGCAGGCTCTCTTCCCGCCCTGGGGAGCAGGCATGTACTGCACATGCCTGGAGCGGGGGAGAGAGCCGCCTCCCACTCAGTTCTTCTTCGATCGCCTGCGTGTTCACACCTCGTTCCTGTTGCTCTCCGTATTTTGCCTCAGCTGAGTATATTTCTTCGTCTGCCTTCTTCGGTCCTTGTTTCTTCGCTTCTCTTCTTTCCCCTCTACTTCCAAAAACAAAAACCCAGAGCTTTTTTCTTCACTTTCTTTCTTTCTTCCTCCCCCCCCCTCCTATTTGGTGGGTGGGGAGGAGATTTGTATGGGCAAAACAAAGTTTTTTAAAGTGTTACCGTTGCCCAGCTAAGATACCTTCGAACGACGGTAACGATTTTTGCCTTCTTTGTTTAGGGGAATCCCATAGGGTCGACAGCTGCGTCCATTGTGCTAGTTTTACTAGGCAAGCTAGACTAAATAGGGAGGCTCGGCTTAGGGCTGTGCTTTTAGAGACAACTTTGCGCCCTACGATGTATTCGGTAGCTTCTCATTCTATTCCTCAAAGATTGGACGGGGCTCCAAAGACACCAAAGCGAAAACCTAAACGGCCTGAGGATAAGGCTCCGTCAAAATCGAAAGTCAAGCCCTCGACATTGGCTTCGACTTTGGCTGTCAACCCGGTTGTCATCACTGGTTTAACAACATCGACTCCTGCTGTGGCTCTTGTGTTCCACAAGTCCACTTTGCGGCCTCCGACACCACCGCCTACGCTCTCTTCAGCATCTGGCCTTATTCCGCTGGGTCAGCCCACGAGTTCGCCTCCCGATTTGTCGTCTCACCGAGACTCTCGATCTCCGTCTCCGCACTCCCGTACCCCAATC